TTTCTATCTGCTTTTCTGCTAGTGGGAGGGCCGGCATTGTCTCTGCTTCCTAGCTAGTAACTTCCACCACCTGAATGAAATGATGATAAAATTGGGTCATTCATTAAAATGCAATTACTACTCCTGTGACTTGAGCAAAGTGAGTGGGGAAGAGATTAAAAGGTGGTCTAGAGTCTCAGAGTGGCTGAGGCCTATGGTATAGTGATTGCCAAAGGTGGGGTGTGTGTTCTCTACATTCCCTTGCAAGCTTCTTTGTATCAGTGGCATGCATGCTATAACTAGCCTTCTCTCCTCTGCAACCTCACTATTCTTCACCTGACAGGGGAGTTGCTCATTTATTTGGTCATTTTTCCACTACTTCCAGGCGTCATCCAAGCCAGCTGTCACAATATTGCCTTGAAGACATTATTCTGTTAGATTCGCCTTACCTGGGTCTGGTTGTGGCATCTGATGATACTTGTGCCAGAGGCCAATAACATCTTGGGCACTTGCAGTGATCTTTATATTAGTAGGTATTTGTCCTTCTTTAACCTTAGTTGCTCATATGTCTTATGAGGGAAATATATGTTCTCTGTGTGATCTCATAGTATTGGTTGGGATTTTTGGTTGTGAATAATTTACAGAATGTTTCAGGGTGGCTTGTGGAACTCAAAGATCCAAATAAAGCTGGGGGTATTGAAAGGAGACTGTATCTAGAATGCAGAAAACTGTTGGGACACTTTCTGTTGGTCTCCATGTAGTTGTTTTATCTGTATCTCAAAAGAAAGCCCTGTTTCCTTTCCCATTCAGTGTGGGAGATGACTATCCAGATAGTTGGAGTATGTATGTTAACAGGAAAGAGGCTATTTTGCCTAGGTTCCATATTGAAGTTCCTAGTAGAGAATCTCAGTGACCCAGCTTGGACCATGCAGCATATACACAGAATGCATACCAGGCTCCTGGTCTCCCTCCCTGCTCTCAATGTGGGCGTGGAGGACTTCAGTAACCAGATAAGGGAGAAGTCTTTGGTTCCATGGCTGGTTGACAAGGAACCCAATTTATTAGCCCTTTATTTACCCATTTGACATGTATTATAGACTGTCTACTGTATGTGAGGCATTGTTCATGGTAATGGTAGTAGAGACATGAACAAGACAATTTCTGTATTTCTACTTTGCAGTAAGCAAACTTAGTGCTTGCCCATGTGCCTGCTCTTGTTTCTCTTTATTCTTCCCTTCACTTTGGTTTCTTTCTCAATAGATATTTATTGAACTCACTATCAGATGATACTGACTGTGCTGATTTTTATGGGGGAGTTGTAAGCATACACTATGATGCTGTATGGGGGTATTTTCAAAATGCATTAACTGAGGATTCATCTAATGAGTCTGAATCTGAAACCTTCATCATAATGTGCTTTCCCAAATATGGTATAGTTTTTCCATTAAGCGATCCATTTCCAACACATTCGCATTATTTTGAAAATAATAAAGTTTGTCTCTAAACCAGGCTTAGGTCAAAATTAGGTCATTAAAGTAGAAGAAAGTTATCTGAGTCTTGGGGCAGAGGGGCTATAGCTATTGTTACCTGGAATAGATTTCCAGGACTGACCCTATTGTAGTTGAGAAAGATGAGCTGGCCTGATGCATGATAGGTACCTTGGAGTTACTATTTCATTTAGTTCTATCATCATTAATTGTTTGTGTCAATATTCCCCCCCCCCAATATATTATCCAGCATTTAAATTTGTGTTTGGAAAAACTATATTTTCAATTCTTTTTCTATAAGTGATGCTTTTTTTTTGTCCCATAATTTTCTCCTCTTCAAATCACAATTATGTTTCTTGTTTTTTTCTGGCCCACACATTCAATCCAAAAAAAGTCTTGCAGAGTTTTCTTTGGAGATGTTTTTTTATGTCCATGTTTTTTTCCCCATTTAATTCTTGCTTTTATCATCTTGCTTTGAGACAGCAGCATTAATTTCCTGATTTCCTTATCTACAAATTCTTCCCCCACTCTGTTCTTTCTATACTTCACACCCAGGTACATTCCTTACCTCCTTAGAAAACCTGTAACTTATGACCTTAACAATGAAGTTCAAGCCCTTTGCCTTACATGTAAGTCATCCAAAGTCTGGCCACTCTATCTATCTATCTATCTATCTATCTATCTATCTATCTATCTATCTATCTATCTATCAGTCATCTGTCCTTCTATTTTTGCTCTTTTCTACTCTTTCCCAATCTGGATCTTCAGTGATAGTTTTTGTTTTCAGTTGTCTGCATGTGCCTTTGCTTAAACTCTTCTTGCCATTGCTCAGAATGCCTCCTCTTTCCTAGCACCTAAAACTAACCTTACCTGTAATTTAAGGATCTTTTATCAATCCTCAAACTCTGTTCCCCATCCAAGCATCAAACCAGTTCCCCATCCAAGCATCAAAAGTCTGCTGACCTCTGACACATCCAAGCACCTTCAAGCCTACTCTTAAGTAACTTGGTCATAAATTATGGTGCACTGGTAACCATAGCTACACTGGTTAACATTTTTGACGAAGGAGCTGATATTTTATTTTTGTGTTCTCAGAAGCATGAAACAAGTGACTTTCTACTAATTTTCAAATTAGTATCATTTAAGGACCTTTAAAACAAGATTAAACAAGTTGGCATCTGAGAAGGTTGGGCCAGGAACTAGTTAATTGTGAGGCCTCCCTTAATGCTGATGATGTGCCGCTAAGACTGAGAGCCACCAAATGAACATAATCCTGCAACAAATTACTTTTGACTTACACATGAATTTGGGTTTGAGTTCTCTGTGCTTATTACTGCATCTCTGCCTAGAGAATTCAAAGCCACCCTTTATAAGAGTTGAGTAAAAATGACATATTCAACCAGCAAATATGAGTGCCCATTATGTGCCAGGCACTGTTCTGGGTGCTGAGGTCACCGCAGTGAACAAAACATGCCCTGCTCCCTGGAGCTTCTGCTCTTGGCCATGGGAAGACAGACTATAAATAAATAACATCAGGTAATGATGATAAATGTGGAGAAAAACAAAGTGGGTTAAGTGGGCAGAGAAAAAAGCAGTACTTTTATACAGGCTAGTTTCAAAAATATTCCCTATCTGCCTAAACAGCAAAGCTCTTTTCCCCAGAGCCACAGTGTGGTGGGAGCCAGCCAGGGTTGAAATAGGGCCTCTGCCACCACTTTTCCTTCAGCAAAGAGCAGAGTCCTGTGCTGTGTAATAACAGGAACCTCAGACAGGGGTAGATTGTAGGGGAGGAGGTGAGGATCTGAGGCTGGGATCCAGTAATGGGGAGCAGCCAGGGCCCTGTGGATGTTCCTCGGCCCTGTGACCAGGTGAGTGGTATACAGGATAGTGTGTCGACTCCCAGAACCAGTCTCACATTGTGGTTGTTACCCCTCTTAAGATAAGGATTATAATAGGATTGTTATCACTTTTAAAAGATGACAAATAGCCAAAATTTTCTCTTTCTAAATGTTTATGGGGATGAATATTTTTCATAGTTGTGAAAAGTAGAGGCTTACTGAAATGAGATGCTGGTTTCTTAAGTAGAATCAACATGTATTTCTTGGAGAGGTGGAAAACATGACAAATATTAGAACCACTGACTATTTAAGGAAGCTTCATATGTAGGGCACTTATTTTCTTGTGATTCTTAACTTCACATGCTCCTCCTCCCTGAAAGTCTGTTCTAGAAGTGGGTTACCGCTTCTAATGAGGGGAGTTGTAGTTGGAGATGTGGTTAAGATCTTGTGTGTGTGTGTGTGTGTGTGTGTGTGTATACAGTTTTAGTAACAGGTATATCATTCTACATGCTGACACCTGTTTAAAATGAAGCTTCTTGGGGAGGTTTAGCTCAGCAAGAGAAGCTTGACTACAGGAATAAAATAAAAATTTAAGGAAATGAACATGCTTGTACATCCTAACCACAGAAACAGTAACTTGAGCACTGAGAAAGCCCGGGATCGGTAAAGTTCTTGCACCCAGGTTTCCAGGCACAGCTGGGGAGAAAGAAAAGCAGCTGGTTTCTTTACACAGAGGTTTGTGAATTTCCTTTTTAGAGCACTGAGATGTGTTTTCCCCATCTATTTCTGCGGTGACCGAATGCAGGGTACATCCCTTCTGCTGTCAGCAATTGGTTCCTAAACACAATCAAAGAAGCAAGAAAACCTAGTCCCGGAGCAGAATCCCTGGGCCTGGAGGGGGAGCTCGACCTGGGAGCGGGAACTGAGGCTGTGGCCTCTGCCACTCCATTCTCACTACCGCCGCCCCCGCCCGCTCAGCCCCTGCAGGTGGCAGCAGCGCCCCTCGCAGGCCCCGCCAGCCCTCGGGGTGGCGCGCTGCGGCGCGGGGAGGAAGAGGCAGCGAGAGCCGAGCGTGTGCGGCGCAGGGGCCGGGCGGAGGCAGGCGGCGTGGCTCTTGCTGGAAAGGCTCCTTCCACCCGCACCAGGGGACCTGCGGGGCCGGGGGTGGAGCGCCGGGAGGGGGCGGGGAGGAGCCCGGAGCAGCTGCGGTGGCGGGTCTCCAGGGGGAGCCAAGGTACATAGGCGGGCCCAGCATCGCCCTGAGCATCCTTTCGCTGCTGGTCCCCGCCCGTCCTCCTGCAGTCCGCGCTTGCTGCCTCTTTGCAGGCGTGACTTCTTTGTGTTTTGTTTTCTGTCTGTGCCTCTTCTCCGCAGGACCTGTTCGTTCTTCTTCAGGTTACAAGAAGGCAGATGATGAGATGTCCCGGGCCACGTCTGTTGGAGACCAGCTGGAGGCACCAGCTCGCACCATTTACCTCAACCAAACGCATCTCAACAAATTCCGTGACAACCAGATCAGGTAGGAGATGGCAGCTGAAAGATGCCAGACTCAGTCGATTCACAGCTGGGATGGGGCTCCTGGTAGCGTCTCCACGCACCTAGCTGGCTGCCCCCCTCCCCCGCTCCCAGCCTATCTGCTTTCTCCAGCCCCTTCTAATTGCTTCTCCCCTCCGCCTCCCCCTCCCCTTAGAGCCTGACGGTTTATACCAGACCTTCCAGTCGGGTTATGTGAATGTATTCACACTTACCTTTCTCTCCTTTGTATCTATTCTGTGTCCAGGCTGTGAGCTCCCAGGAAGTTTGTATTCCCTGACAAAAATGGGATCTTGCATCTTTTCATCCCTGAGCTCCTCCCAGGAGTTCCCCCTGTCCTATTTAAAGCCAATTGACAGCTGCCTTTAGCAATTTGCAGACCATGATGTGGGGAAGTGCATTATAAAGGAATCCCATAGGTCACAAGGGCTTGCACTGAGTTCCAAATGGTCCAGAATATTTAAGGGGTCTTTATACACTGGGAAACTTTGTCCAGAGTTAGTTGAAAGATGAAAGACCATCAGAAGCTAACATTTAGCTTTTTGCTGGCTACTGTGTCAGGTGCTTCTGTTATATTAGCTTTATAAATCCTCATAACCTCTTGAAGAAGGTATTATTACTTTCAGATCAGGCAACTGAGATAGGTGTTAAATAATGTACCTGTGGTCATATGCTACTAAATGGTCCAGCTGGAAGGAAAACTAAGCCTGTCTGATCACTAAGCTCAATTTGTTTTTTCTGCTGTGCAAAGCTAGATTTTTCCCCTTGGGTATATTTTCAAATTTCATTAAACTTTCAGGCTTACACAACTTTACATCTGGGAGTGACTTCCGATCATGTAGTTCTGTGAGTTGTTCAGAATACCACAGTGGGGTGTAGAGAAGTTAAGTGATAGATCAGGTTGCACATGGATTATTGACAAACCTGAATTCTAATCCAGACTTCTTTCTTGAAAGTCCTGGCTAAAACTGTGTTGTTTTATGTTTAAGTATTCCACTACAGCATGAGTACTTGTACAGACTGCTTAGCTTGACATCCTTTATTTAGAAATGTTTGGCTCTTGGACACTATCGTGCTTGATAGGATTTGAAGTAGAATAATGGTGCATGTTATGTGAAGGTGAGAACTTCATTTATTAAAGGACACTTAGGTTATTATGGCTTTATTTTAGGTTTAAAAATAACCATTGTATTTTATATTTAAAAGTATAGCTCAAAGAAATATCTGAGTTCATTGTTCAAGAATGAGTGGACCTAGTTTAAGATACAGAGTATCAGCCACATGAATTAGCACTTCACACTTAGTAGGCCAGTTCTAACGAAAAAGAAAACAGCAAGTTAGTGTGGAGGTAGAGAAATTAGAACCTTCAGACTTTGCTGATGGAAATGAAAAATTGCTGCAGCCGCTTTGGAAAACTTTGGCAGTTCCTTAAAACGTTAAATGTAAAGTTACCATATGACCTAGAATTTCTTTTCCTAGCTATATAGATTTTCCTATTCTTTACTCTAGAGAAATGAAAACATCTGCCTATATAAGAACTGGTACACAAATGTTGATAGCAACATTATTTATAATGACTAAAAAATGCAAACAACCCAAAATGTCAACTGATGAATGGATAAAATATGGTATACCCGTAGATTGGAATATTATTTGGTCATACAAAGAATGAAACATTGATACACTCTACAGTATGGATAAACCTTGAAAATGTTACAGTAAATGAAAGAAGATCTTACGTTATAGGAGTACATTTACGTGAATTATCAGGAGAAAGCAAAACTATTGAGACATAAGATAAATTAGTAGTTTTCCTCAGGCTGGAGAAGGGAAAAGAGGCTGGGAGTGACTGCTAAATGCTGGGGATTTCATTTTGGGATGATGATGGTTGCACAGTTCTATGAATGTATTTACGACCATTTGGAATCCTCCATTGCCAATGTCATTCCATTTCTTTATTCATGTTTTGATTGACTTATTTATTTATTTAAAGATTTATTTATTTATACAAGCACTGGGTACAGTCAGAAGCACGGGAGGGTGAGAGAATTCACCAGAGCTAGAGTAGGGAGGGAGCAGAACAGACAGACTGACGAAATACCCTGATGAGGGGAGCAGTGGGTGTGGCAGGAGAGGTCTGACATGCCATGTGGGACCCTAGCTGGCAGCCGGGATCGAACCAGCGCTGCAGAGGCTGTGGGCAGCTTCGCAGCCCAGTGCTCAACTGCTGCGCCACCAGGGATGCCCTTGATTGACTTATTTTTGAAAAGAAAAAAAATTGTTTTTAAAAAGGATGGATACTCTTGAAGGATATGGAGTTGAAGAGTTACTTTTCCTTTTAAATTTTGAAATATTTTCCCATAGTATTTTTGCTTAATTCCTATGAATTCCTTTAACTTTTATATCTATTAGTGCATACTTTAAGCTAGGAGAATAGAAGTTTTGTTTTTATCTAAATTTTCTAGTTTTCATAGAAGGTGAAGAATTTTCTGAGCTGTAGTAATGGGGCATCACTACCCTTCCCCTAATAATACTCAAAGCCGACTTTTGAGATTGATTTTATTGTGAATGAGATTTCAGGTGGCTACTTATACAGTAGGGAAAATAAGTATGGAAATATGCATTGGGTTGGCTGGGGATAAAGTTGGTAGAATCCAATAATCTATTTAAAGTGTTGTTTAAGTGTGTAAAAGAATTAGTTGAAATATATATTAGATATTAAAATTCATACAGTTTCTGAGTTCATAACACATACTGTTAGCATATATTTCAAAAACACTAAATAGGTCTAAGGAAGTAAAATGTGGCTCTGCTGTGCTATAAAATGGCATTTGAATATTTGTTTCACCTTGACTGCATATTTAATATGAAATTTCTAATGGTAATATAACTTCTAGTTAGTTAAGGAATTGATTATAAAGCTTCTTGGCATTATATTTAGAAGTTCTATAGGATATTGAGCAACATTATATTGGTACCTTAATATTGCTCAAGTCAATTTTTTATGAAAATATTGATTTAAAAAATAAAGCTTTTTGTCTTGGCAATAAATGTCTGCAAAAAAGTTGATTAAAGCTATTCAAAGGAAAACTTTCATAAAATGTAGTTGATAAAAGATTTCTTTATCTATATATTCTTTCTTGAGAAAAGGTTATTTTCTTGAGAAATAGTTTCTCTTGGAGGCAGGAACATAGAGTGTTTATCCTACAATGTTGCTTCTAAATAGAGTATTTTTTAAAAAAAGATTTATTTATTTATGCATACAAGAGCTGGGGTACAGGCCAGAGGTGTGGGGGGTGAGAGAATTCACCAGAGACAGAGTGGGGAACAGAACAGGCAGACTGACTGAAATACACTGCTGAGGGGAGCAGCGGGCGAGACAGGAGAGGTCTGCTGTGCCACATGGGCTGCTCTCTGGCCTGCCAGGATGGAACTAGTGCTGCAGAGGCTGTGGACAGCCCCACAGGTTGCGTCTTAACCCTTGCACCACCAGGAAGGCCCTCTAAATAGAGGTTTTTGAAAAGAAAGGGCCATTTGGGGGAGATGAGACTCTTGCTAGTCCAGAGAAGCAGGAATGCCTGGTGTTTTGTCCACTTCAGGAGGTTTTTTTTTTACCTTTCCCACCCCAAGTCCCGTCTGGCTTGGAACCTTGCTCATCATGGCAGTTGCTCGCTAACTGCCTACTTGGGCAACGGGCATTTTGGACTTCAGGAAAGGGATTAGTGTCTCTAAGGAGGGAGGTAGTTGTGGTGTCAGGGGAGGGTGGGGAATGACAGTGTGTTCATTCAGGACAGGGATTGAAGGTTTAGGGTTAATGTTTGGACTGGTGTATCAACAAAGAGGCTTGGCCTGGCATGTAGGGGTGAGATGGTTACCACAGGGTTGACTGTGTGACATGGTGGCTTCAAATTCCTAGAAATTCTGGGAGGGTCGTGCAATATAGGCAGATGGCTGTCTTCCAAATCTTCTTCTTAACACTGAAAAGTAACATCAGTGTTCAATCTGAAATTATTTGTTATAGCACCCAATGAATTTGGATTATCGTGGTTATGGAGAAATATGACATAGTCTTTTTCTCCTAGGTATTGATTTTCTAGGGCCTTAATAGTAACCCATGGAATATTGCAGAATGTGTGTGTGTGTGTGTGTGTGCGTGTGTGTGTGTATGAAATTGTAAAATTGTGTATATATCCACTCTAATATCTCTTTTTTCTAAGTGTATGATCACTTTTAAATATTAAAATAGTCTACACATCCCACATATGTAAAGTGTATAATTCATTTTATTTATTTATTTATTTATTTATTTATTTATTTATTTATTTATTTATGCATATAAGAGCTGGGTACAGGCCAGAGGTGTGGGGGGTGAGAGAATTCACCAGAGACAGAGTGGGGAACAGAACAGGCAGAATGACCAAAGTACACTGCTGAGGGGAGCAGCGGGTGAGTCAGGAGAGGTCTGCTGCGTCATGTGGGTTACTCCCTGGCTGGCCGGGGATTGAACTCGTGCTGCAGAGGCTGCAAATTGCTTCATAGTGCAGTGCTTAACCCCTTGTGCCACCAGGGAGACCCAAGTGTATAATTCAATGGCTTTTAGTATATTCAGAGTTGTACAACCATCTTCATAGTCAATTTTAGAACATTTCCAACACTTTCAGAAGAAATCCCATATCCTTTATTTATCATCTACTTATATCTTCCTTCCCCCAAGACCTGAGCAACCACTAATCCACTTTATATATTTTTATCAATTTTGGACATTTTATATAAATGATATGATCTCCTTTTAAATGTTTTAAGTTTAAATTTACATGCTTATAGCAAGCATATAGGAAACTAGTGATGAATCTTTAATTTTCAAAATTAAAGGGTATTTTGAGACACAAACCCTGTGTATCACAATTTTCAAAAATACTTAATTTGTTCTTTCTCCGTTAACATTTTGAAATAATTTACTTATCAAGAAATGAGCAATTTTATGTA